AGTCTCCAATATGCAACCTTTTCAAGTGGGACCTCATGCAATTAAGAAGCATCTGACCACACAATTAAATGAAGAAACAAGCCACAGAATGGAACAAAATATTTGCTAGCTAGTCATCTGACACAGGCCTGATGTCTGCAATATAGAAAGAGGGCTGGAGAGGGTGCTCAGTGGTGAAGAGCACTTGTTCTTTCAGTGAAAGCGAATTTGATTCCCAGCACCTGTATCAGGTGGCTCATAACCACTTGTAAATTCCAGCTCCAGGGAATATGACGCCTCTGGCCTCCACAGGCACCTGCACTCATGTGCAGGGACACACACACACACACACACACACACACACACACACACACTTTAAAAAGAGAAAAAATACATTTAAAAAAATATACAAAGAGCTAAAAACCAAACCAAAACAACAACAACAAAAAATCCCACCCCACAACAACTAAATGACAAGATGTCAAACATAGTTACTAAATGGGCAAGTAAAATGAACAGATAATTCTCAAAAGATAAAGTACAGAGCTTGGAGATTGCTTGGCCAGTAAAGTGCCCGCCCTGCAAACATGGGGGTCTGAGCTCCATCCCCAGAACCTATCTAACAATCCGAGGGTGCTTGTCATCCCATTGCTGGGAAGATAGGGACAGAGGATCCTGGCACTTATTGGCCAGCCAAGCTAACCTAATTAGGCCCTGCCCTCCCATATCAATCACTAATTGAGAAAATGTCCTACAGGCTTGTCTGCCTATAGCCTGATCTTACGGTGGTATTTTCTTTTCTCCCCATCCCCTCGTGTTTTTTTGTTTGTTTGTTTGTTTTGTTTTTTTGAGACAGATTTTCTTTGCATAGCCTTGGCTGTACTAGAACTTGCTCCATAGACCAGGCTGGCGCCAGAACTCAGAGATCTGCCTGCCTCTGCTTCCCGAGTGCTGGGATTAAAGGTGTGTGCCACCACCACCTAACCTATATCTAATAAAATATTTGGTTTTAGAAACAGAATATAGTTTATAGGAAATATTTTCTTCCTAACAGAAAACATGGCCCTGCAAAGCACCCTTTGCTTTCTTTTTCCCCATTTTTCTCGAGTGGCAAATGTGGAACAGGAAACCAGTTACTATCAAAGAATACTGGAGCCAGGGTCAGAGCTCAGCTGGTAAAGGCATCTTTCATCAAGCCTGAGGATCTGAGTTTGAGTCCTGGATTCACACAAAAGAATACTATGAATAATGTGTGAGGCAGACTGATATCCAAGATACAGGCCTGCCCTTGCTTTGCCTTCATCACAAGCAGCAATGGAATACACCTGCAGAGTTATTTAGCAATAAAAAGAGGTTCATGGAATATATATTATTTATCCATAGGGAAGAGCTTCAGTTCATCCATTAGGTCCCTCAGGTATTTATGTTCTCCAGTGTGTCTTGAGGCCTTACAGACATCACAGAGATTGCCCACAAGGTGAAAATTTAGTTGAAAGCCAACTGACTTCAGGAGACAAAAGTAGATTGAATGACGGGTAAGAGCATTTTCATTTTGTTTTGTCCAGTGAAGTGCGAATTGATCTTACCAGGTGAAGTTGGCCTAGAAAGCACATTTGTAACGAGACTGTCCTTATTCTTCAAGGACAATGAAAATGGTCCTTGTGTAACTAAGAGGGCAGTAGAAGCTGGTTGTGGTGGTACACACCTTTAAACCCATCACAGAGGCAGGGGGGTTTCTTCGAGTTCAAGTCCAGGGCCAAGAATACATGAGATATTCAAAAAAAAAAAAAAAAAAAAAAAAGACAAAGAATAACAATTAAAAACCTCCCCCCCAAAAGAATACTATGAATAATGTGTGAGGCAGACTGATATCCAAGATACAGGCCTGCCCTTGCTTTGCCTTCATCACAAGCAGCAATGGAATACACCTGCAGAGTTATTTAGCAATAAAAAGAGGTTCATGGAATATATATTATTTATCCATAGGGAAGAGCTTCAGTTCATCCATTAGGTCCCTCAGGTATTTATGTTCTCCAGTGTGTCTTGAGGCCTTACAGACATCACAGAGATTGCCCACAAGGTGAAAATTTAGTTGAAAGCCAACTGACTTCAGGAGACAAAAGTAGATTGAATGACGGGTAAGAGCATTTTCATTTTGTTTTGTCCAGTGAAGTGCGAATTGATCTTACCAGGTGAAGTTGGCCTAGAAAGCACATTTGTAACGAGACTGTCCTTATTCTTCAAGGACAATGAAAATGGTCCTTGTGTAACTAAGAGGGCAGTAGAAGCTGGTTGTGGTGGTACACACCTTTAAACCCATCACAGAGGCAGGGGGGTTTCTTCGAGTTCAAGTCCAGGGCCAAGAATACATGAGATATTCAAAAAAAAAAAAAAAAAAAAAGTCAGTATGAACATTGAGCATCTCTCGCCACCTTGTGGTGGCCTGTTCTCAATCCCAGGTATTTACAGGGGTTCCGAAATTAAGCCTTCTTGAAGCTGGGTTTGAGCTGTTTGGAACATATGGACACAATGATCATGTGGGAGGTTGTAGGCAGAAGGCTAGAAACCTTAGAAATAACTAGCAGTTGACTGAATTTCACACTCTTTATGCTTTACAGTATGGGCAAAGCTCTCTGATGTGGATGGTCTCATTTAGTCCTGATGGCAGCCCTAGAGACCTTGGTCTTGAACATGTGAGTTAGGTGCAGGGGCATGGCTAATTACATGGACCAAGTCCTCTATTTGCTCCTGGATGGTCAAACTCAAACCCTGTTAATACTAATGTGTGCAATCTGTTTAACCATACCACAGAGCATAAAATTACATGTGTGCTTGTTGTGTGGTATATTTTACACTGTACCTCCAACTCTACTAGTACTACACACACACCATCTTCTGTGGTAGTGTTGAGCAGAGTTCACTAGGTCTCTGGGGCTGTTGTGTGTGCAATGGTAATGCTGTAAAGGTTGGCTCTTCAGGGAGATGGCTCAGTGTAGGGGTACTTACTGCCAAGCCTTATGACCCGCATGGTAGCAGGTGAAAACCAATTCCAGCAACTTGGCCACTTAACTTCCACACATGCTTCGTGAAATATGCATACCTACCCACATGTATACACATAAATAAATAAATAAATGTGTAATTAAAAAAAACTTTGTCCACTCACATCAAACCCTCACTTAAAAAATGATTGTTGTGTGCATGTGTCAATGTAAATACATGGGCCCAAGTACCGTGGTGCACATGTGGAGATCAGAGAAAAACTTTTGGTGGTTGTTTTTCTCCTTCCACCTCATCGAGGAGCTTTCTGGTTTCTGCTGGGCTGTTTATTCCACACTAGCCAGCCTGACGGTCTCCAGGTGATTCTCCTCTTACCTCCATTTAGCAGTGTTGGGATTAGAGATATGCACCACCACACCAGCTTTTAACTTGGGTTCTCGGGATGTGCTTGTGTGGCAAGCCTATTTATCCATCTCACCAGTCTCTCACTTTGGTCAGAGGATTGGCAAGATTGCCAGGCCATCACCAGTACTCAGGGATTCCCATCTCCTTTCAGCCATCTCCGCCAGACCAAATACCTGTTTAGACCCCTGACACTAGCCAAAATGACAGTGGCTCTTGTGTTCATTATTGGTGAAGTTGTCAAAGGTGCTACAAGGAGGGAGACACAAGGCATGGGAACTCAGGAGCAAAGGCCCCGGGTTTCTCTCCAGTGAGAAAGTGATGGCTCCCTCTCTAAGAAACCACATTTGTAACTGATCTAGCTTCTAAGATCTCCTAAGTACAAGGCCTTTACTTAGCTTATGCTATTTTTGAACTCAACTTCCTTCATTCTCGTTTCCTTAGAATTTACCTCAAGCCTTTAATTCCAGCACTCGGGAGGCAAGGGCAGAGGCAGGTAGATCTCTGAGTTTTCGAGGCCAGGCTGGCCTACAGAGTGAGTGCCAGGACAGGCTCCAAAGCAATACAGAGAAACCCTGTCTCGAAAAACTAAAACAAAGTACTAAATATCTCAGCTAGACATGGTGGTGCATGTTTTTATTCTCAGCAGAGGCCAATCTGATCTACATAGAATATTCCAGGCCAGCCAGGGCTGCATTGTGAGACCCAGTCTCAAAAGTAACAATTGTTTTTAGATTTATCCAGGTATATGAATGTTTTGCCTGCATATATGTATGTGCAGCATATGAATGCCTGGTGTCAGAGAAAGCAGGATGATAGTGGTAAATGTCCTGGAAATGGAGTTACGGATGGCTGTGAGTGCACACACACAGAAGAATCAGGCAGAAAGCCATGATAGGTTCCTTCAGCAGAGGACAACAGTGTTTAGAACACTGGTGTTAAAGAAATACATAAATGATTTAGAGAGAAAATGACAAACAAGAGACACCAGAAAAAGACCAATTAGGCTAAAAAAGTATGAGCTGTTTCAGTCCTGTTTTCCCCTTGTGTTGTCTATTGTGTGGCCTGAAGACACACAAAGTCCCATGAATAACGACAACAGTGTCTTTATGCCCCAGCCTTTTAAACTGTGGGTTCTGATCCCATACAAGGTCAGATAACTAAATGTGAGGGTCATAAAAACGTTCTAAATGTTCAACAACCAAACAAGCTAATTCAGAATCAAAGGTGTAATGAATCCAAGGCCATTCTGACAATGCTTACCTGTGATGCATTGTGTAATGATCCTGCAGCTTGGCTGTGACACACATGTACACCTTACCCACTGCATGCAGTCATAACACATACCAACAACATTGGTTAAAACACTTTAGCTTACTGTGTATTACGAACTGCAGTGTTTTGTTGTTTTCAAACTGTTTATAGTTTTCTGTTCTTACAGTGTGTTGGCTGATTTTATATCAGCTTGACACAGGCTACAGTCATAAGAGGAGGGAACCTTGATTGAGAAAGACTGTGCTGCAGGTAGGCCTAATAGGGGATTTTCTTAGTGATTGAGGGAGGGTCCAGTCTGTCTCAAGGTTTCTATTGCTGTGAAGAGATACCATGACCAAAGCAACTCTTATGAAGGAAAACTTTTAATTGGGGCTGGCTTACAGTTCAGAGGTTTAGTCCATGATCATCATCATAGACACAGATTCCTGGGGTCACACCTTTGGTGGTCAAGCTTGCACGGCTAACACTTTACCTGCTGAGCTATCTCCTCACTTCTTAATATAAAACTTACAAATGTAGTTTAAAAAATTTGGAATATAAAAGTATATGAAGGAGTTTAAAACATTTTTCTTCAAAGTGAAGTAGAGTCAATGGTAGGGTCTGTCCTTTGGAGGCTTCCGGAACTTGCTCTGAAGGAAAACTCGTGGCACACACAGGCCTTCTTTTTTGTTCACTGTTTCTCGAAACACATATTCGTTTGCCACTTCTTCATAACCTGCATCCACAAAGAGCTTCGCCAGGAATTCTAGAAAGCAAGCAGTGGTGAGTTCTGAGGGGTGAGGACTGAGATGGGCTGCAGGGCTTTTTGTTGTTGTTGTTGTTGTTTTCTGTAATGAAAACTTCAATGCTAAATTTCATTTCATTTGTTTTTAAATGTTTCTTCTTTGATTTCCCCTCCTTGAGATAGGATTTTACTTTACATGTCTGGCTGGCCTGAAATTTTTAATGCTTATGCCTCAGCCTCTTTAGCGCTTTCTTTCTTTTCCTTCCTTCCTTCCTTCCTTCCTTCCTTCCTTCTCTCCTTTCTTTCGCTCTTTCTCTTTTCACCCCTTTTTTAAAAACACATTTCTACTTCTCATGGTCTGAGGACCCAAACAGAAACTTCCAATAAAGCTTCAACAAAGGTGTACCTAACTTGGCTTGTTCATGTATTAGTAAATACAAATCTGAGTAGAAAGAAACAACTTACAGAAAGGAAGAATATCTGTGACTAGAATGAGGAATCACCAGGTGGTGTAAGAGCCTGAGGATAATTTCACCCCAGCAAAACATCACACAGATGAAATGGACCAAATAAGTAGAATCAAGAGCACAGATGGACTCCTACTCAGGGCATCACCGAGGAGGCTGTGCCCTGGAGCTCTATGCAGATACCCGGGGCTTCCTAATCACTTCTAATGGGTTAACCACATGTGGCCATTTCAGAGCCCTTAGTCGTCTTCATTTTCACCTGACATTGTATATTTACGTGTAAACACTCACTTTTTAGTTTATATCTAAAATAACATTTCAAGAAATAGAAATGTAAGTTGGGTTGTATATACCTATGAGGCAAAAATAGAACTGCTGTAAGGTGAAGGACAGCCTTGGTTACAGACTGAGATTTTGTTTCAAAATACTAAAAGTTATGGGGCTAGAGAGATGGTTCAGCAGTTAAGTGCACCTGTTGTTCTTGCAGAAGATCCAGGCTCAGTTTCTGCAGTGGCTCACAACTATAACTTCAGTCTCAGGGAATCTGACACCATCTTCTGACCTCCACACACACCAGGCACGCACATGGTGCACATACAATGCAGGCAAAACACATACATATAAAATACAGTTAAAAAAATTTCTAAAAACAGAGAAACAAACAAACCTAACCCTAAAACCAAAAAGCAGCTGGGTGGTGATGGCACATGCCTTTAATTCCAGCACTCTGGAGGCAGAGACAGATGGATCTCAGTGAGTAGGAAGCCAGCCTGGTCTACAGAGCAAGTTCCAGGACAGGCTCTAAAGCTACAGAGAAACTCTGTCTCAAACAACAAAAGCAAAAACCAAAACCAAAACCCAAAAGCAAAAGAACTAGGGATACAGCATAGTGGTAGAACACTCTCCTAGCATGCTTGAAGCTCTGGATTCAAGCCATAGCAGCACAAAAAAAAAAAAAAAACCAAAAAAAAAAAACCCCCAAATCCACTAAGCTATAAAAAGATAAAGGATTTTTTTAAGCTATAAAAAGATAAAGGATCTTTTCATCCAGATTACTAGGCAGACTTAAACCAATGTTTGAAACACCTAAAAATTGAAATTATGTTCAGCATTTTCTGATCCAAAATGACCTTTAAAGTATTTTCTATTATTGTCTTGTTTGTGGGATGTTATGTGTTCATGTGTACACATCTGTGTGCAATAGAATCAATATTTCTTCTATTACACTCTCCACTTTAAAAAAATGTTTTTATTTATGTTCACCAATCTTTTGTCTGTATGTGTACTACCTGCATGTCTGGTGCCTACAGCAGTCCAAAGAGCCTCTGGAAATGAAGTTACAGATTTCATTTGTGGCCATGTGGCTGCTGGGATTCAAACCTAGGTCCTCTGGAAGAACAAACAGTGCTCTTAACCAATGAGCCATCTCTCCAGCCCTCCACTTTTTTTTTTTTTTTTTCCCCCTAGAGACAGAGTTTCTTTTATAGCCCTGGCTGTCCTTGTCTACTTTACTTCTTGAGACAAGATTTCTCACCAACCTGGCATTGCTAACAAAAAACTAGCTGACCAGTAGCTCCAGGGATCTTTACTGTCTCTGCCTTCCCAGCATCAGGATTACAGGGACATGCTACCACACCAGGCTTTTCATAAGGGTGCTGGGGTGCTGCAGCAAACACTCTACTGAGCCATCCTCCCAGATGCAACCATTTTATGGAGACAGGGTCTCATGTAGCCCAGGAACTGCTGAGGGAGAGAATGACGTTGAACTGTTTATTTTCTGTGTATGAGTGTTTTGCCTGCATGAAGTATGTGCACCATGTACACACCTGCTTACCACATGGATCAGAGGAGGTGTCTGATCCCCATCCCCAGGAACTAGAGGTACAGATGGAAGCCACCATGTGGGTGTGGGAAATTGAATCAGATCTCAGGAATTATAATAGGTGCTCTGAACTGCTGAATTATTTTTCCAGCAGGATCTTTGATCATCCTGCTTCTGCCTCTGGATTGCTGGGGACTAAGTCCTGTGTGCGACCATACCAGTTTATGCAGTGTTGGGGGGACTGAACCCAGAATCTGACCCATGCTAGGCCAGCACTCTATCAACTAAGCTACATTCCCAGTATTCTCTGATAGCAAGTTTGTCTATTTGAAAACAGATCTAATCACTTTTATTCAAGAAGGATTTGCCTGCGGTCTGGGAAAGTAACCTCTGTCACCACTAGCTTAAGGCTCTTCCTGTTGGCATCACAAGACATGTCTGAGGCCTGTCGACTCTCCCAGGCTTACTCACTAGCCAGTATCAGCAGAGGCTTTCAGGTTCCCCTATAGATGGATTTTTCTGTCCCACCTGGTCCTGCAGCCATTCAGACCCAAATAAACACACAGAGACTGATATTAATTATAAACTGTTTGGCCGATTGCTCAGGCTTCTTATTGGCTTGTCCACCACCAAGGCCCAGCCCTACTAATAAACCCTTACAACTTAAATTAAGCCATAATTCTTATCTGTGTTTAGCCATGTGGCTTGGCAACTCTTTTCAGTATGGCATGCTCATCCTGCTTCCTCTGCGTCTGGCTGGCGACTGCTTCTCTGCCTTTCTCTTCCCAAAATTCTCCTAGTCTGTAGCTCTGCCTATACTTCCTGCCTGGCTTCTGGCCAATCATCATTTTATTAAACCAATATGAGTGCCAAATATTTACAGTGAACAAGAACATTATCCCACGTCACTCCCCACAAGCCAGAGCCGAGTCTGACTCAGCAGGTACTGGGAAGTGGTGTGCGTCAGGGTTTGCTCTAAGGACTTGGGACTTGTGCTAGCATGGCCACACAGTTGCCCAAGCAGCACTCCATTGATGATGCAGTCAAGTAAACAGAGAATGAAACACCGAGGAGATACTCCATTCCTCTTACCATCAGTAAAAAAATAGGATCTGGTTCCATCTTGTCTGACATAAAAATTTTTTCCAAGTTTGCTTCCAGCTTTAAATCTAAGCATGGCATGATCATGCAGCCCATAGTCACGGAACAAGACACTTCTGCCTGGTTTTAATACCTACAAAAGTAAAGGAGATTACATATAACTCAGAGGAACCCAGTCAAATAAAATACAATCTGATGACATTAGGAATTAAAACACAGACCTGTGGTAGTTATGAAAGAAAGCATTTAAAATACCTTTAATATGAATGGTTGCTTTTAAAAAACATGTCAGGCATAGTGGTGCACACCTGTAATCCCAGCACTCACAAGGTTGAGGCAGGAGTATCATTCTGAGTTTGAGGCTAGCCTGGCCTACATAGTGAGTGCCTGGCCCACTAGGGCTACATAGCAAGAGGACCCTGTCTCCAAAAACCAAAAATAAATACAATGCTTAGAAGTTATTTTTTGGTTGTAATGGATCATAGCGTTCAAGCCCCACATAAGAGTAAGCACACAAGACATACTCTGCCTTCCAGAAGGCATGAGTCATCTCCCTCATTAGACTGTTTCCAGCTATCTGCTTCTGACAACTTAGCTCTGAAGGGCTCCTGTGTGAGACTCCCTGCTGGATTCCAACACTGCTCCCCTGCCCTCAAGTGCTGGGCTCTGGCCCGACCCTCTGCTCTTTGGATCAGAAGTCTGTCTGGGAAGAATAAGGAAAGTCATCCTTTCCTCAGAGCTTGCCTTCTATCTGTGCTGTAGACAGTGTGTACACACCTACTCTATACCCCAAGAAAGTTCCACAGACAGGTGTTCCACAGACCCACATCATCTCGAAAATAACACATCTGTTTTAAAATGACAGATGCCACAGGTTTTGTGACAGGTTTTGTCTCCTATGGAAAAGAGTGAGCTGATGCACTTGCATAGTCATATCCTCCCCCAACCCTCTATTTTTATTTATTTATTTATTTGAGATTGTATTGTTTTGGAGCCTGTCCTGAAACTGGCTCTGTAGACCAGGCTGGCCTTGAACTCACAGAGATCCACCTGCCTCTGCCTCCCCAGTGCTGGGATTAAAGGCGTGCACCACCAATGCCTGGCTCACCCAGGCTAATCTTGAACTTATAGAAATTCTCCTGCCTTAGTTTCCTGAGTGCTATGATTATAGGTGTTTGTCACCACACCAATGATACAAAGAAAATCATTCGAAAATGACTACAGTGTCTACATGAATGCTCCACTGCAGCTCTCCAAAGCAGTGACATCACTCACTTATATTCTCAGATTTAGCACTAAGGAAACAGGTAAAGCTTTTACATTCTTTTTGTTGTTGTTGTTTTATACTTAGAGAGTATAAAATAACTCAGGCTAGCTCCAAATTTTCACTATAGATGAGAATGACCTTGAACTCTTGACCTTCCTGAGTGCTGAAGCTGTATGTCATCATGCTGGCTTATTTTCAGAAGAGTCTATAGCTCAGGCTGGCCTTGAACGCATGGCAATCCTCCTACCTCAGTCCCAAGTACTAGGATTATAGGCATGCTACAATAGCCTCCTGGTGTCCACAACAGTTCAGGTTCTTGCCATCCTAATAAGAATACTGTTGGCAGTAGTAATGTAACAATGGCTGGCTTTGTGGAACACTTAGCAGAGGGTAAGCACAGTGCTGGGCCCATGCCATACATCTTATTTAATCTTCTTCAACTGCTACCATCTCATAAGCATTAACCAACATTTTTCAGGTATAGAACCAGGCTTGAAGTATTGAAGGAACTTGTCCAAGTAGTGAACCCAGCTTAGAATCTAGGCCTTTTGAATGCACTTCCCACTTAATCACATGTCATCTCACTTTGCGGATCCCAGGTAACTGCAGCATCTTCCTTGCTCTGAAGTGCAGCCACGGCACTGTACAAACCCAGAGCTACAGTGGCTGCTTCATGCCAGAGAATCCCTCCCCCATGCAAGCTACAGTATACCCCTGAAAATGGGAAGATGCTGGGACTGCAGCACACAAGCCTTACAGAGGAGGAGGCAAGTGAGCCAAGGTGGCCAACCCTCACATACAGACATCAAATCACTAACCTTGTACACATTTAATAAGACAAGGTGCATCTTCTCAGGGTGAATAGCTGAGAGCACAAAGATCAATGTGACCGCATCCACAGACTCTGGTGGGATATGGTCAAGGAGGTCATCTTTAGTGAGGTCACACTGGAATACTTTGCATCTCTCTGTATTATACAAAGGATTTTGCTAGAAAGGGAAAAAAACAGAAAGAACTTAGTATTTTAATTAACCACCCTGCTGATACAGGTATGAATGTACAGCACTGAAGAAAAATCCTGTCTCTACGTATTTACTACTACACAGAATGGTCACTTGCTATTGGGGGGGGGGGGGGAGTAATGTCTGATATTGTATATGGAGCAAGGCAGCATTTCATCAAACTGGTTTTTTTGGTTTGTTTTTCTGTTTTTTGAGACATGGTTTCTCTGTGTAGCTTTGTAGAACAGGCTGGCCTTGAACTCAGAGATCTGCTTGCCTCTGCCTCCTGAGTGCTGGAATTAAAGGTGTGCATTGCCACTGCCCAGCTCAGCAAACTGTTTTTACCTGAGGGCAGAGTATAGTTTGTCACTTATTTAAAACCAAGTATTTCGCTGGGTGGTGGTAGTGTATGCCTTTAGTCCCAGCACTAGGGAGGCAGAGGCAGGTG